TTCATACATTGCTCCTGTCTTGGAAGGAGAGGGGCCACGTTTTTAATAGAATTTACAGCAAAATAGTTCCTTCCCTCCCTAAATTACATTTCGTTTTCCACTGAACTTTTGCCAAACTGTTAAACTGCTCTTTCCCAAGCATATAAGCATTTCCCAAGCAAGACTCGTTTAGAAATCAAGCCTTTTTAATTCCGCACCCCTTTCTTTCTTTCTTCTATCCTCCACCACCGCTTTTGTCATTTCTTGACACTCATGCTTTTCACGGCACAAGGAACAATTGCTCCTGGGCAGCGTCGATCACCTACGTGGCACATGTTTTCACACGGTGGTTTCCTCAGATAATTTGGTCCTGATTCTTAGCTATAATTAGAATTGATTATGATGTGATCGAAACCTAGAAGATGAATTGGTTCTTTTGTGTTTGTTTTACATCATTTTACCACTCATCGCTTCAGGACAGACGTCTGCTAAACCGTATTTATTTATTTTACGGAATCAAACCCTCTTCCTTGTTGTGATTCTCATTCACGTATCCGCAAATGATTTCCTCAGTCCCGTGCTATCCTGTTTTCATCATTGTTAGTGTATTCTCTTCCGCATTGAAATAAAAAGCAGTGACAGCGCCTTTTCACGGAGAACAATTCTAGTGTATCTTTTTTGTTTTTACGTTCGTGAATACAGTGCTTTCATGCGAAAAAATGGTTGTATTTAGCTTGAAGCCAGCAGATATCCACTTGTGCGGTGGAGTTGAATATCCCCTTTAATATGAATGAATTCAGTGATAGAGTGGCATGAGGCGTAGAATTGGGGGAGCGAGCCTTAGAAGACCACCAATTACTCCCAAAAGCACTAAGACAATTCAATTTATCTTCGTGATTTTGTCCTAAGCATGCACACTTTCACAAGACTGTAGTTAAGTTTATAAGAATATCGTAATCAATTTGATAAAATTTGATAAAATTTGAGAATAAATCAAGAATAAGGGCAGGCTTGAAATTTGCATGACTCAAAGTGAGATTATTTGTCTGTCTGGTTTTTTTCTCACAGATTGTTAACTACCTTGAGTGCTTTTAAACAAATAAGAAGGTCTTATTTTCATAAGTAAATATCTGTCTTTATACCAGTAAAAAACTTTTGTTTTAAGTTGTGGTGGTTTCTTGCAAAAACAATTTAGCATAAACTTAGGCCTAGTATCGAGAATTCGGAAGAATATCGAGGCTAAAAGAATTAAGGTTTGCTTATCAAAAGGGTCTACTGAAACTTCTAAATGAACCCCCAAGACAGAATATCCTGCACAGTTACTGGTGATGCTCGGGGTACAGCCCCCAAAACAAACTCTTTTTCATGCCAATATTTCTGTTTTTCTCAAACCATGAGTCAAATTGAAATTCGTTTCCTCATCTGAATTAGAGAATATTATTGGTTGGATTAATGACGGCAAGTGCTTTCGCTATCCCGTGGGAGAACACTCTTTTATGTTTATTATTTCGCTTATTTGTTTACCCTATTTTCGTTGACGCGGAAGCGACTTTCAAATAGGCCAAGCAAAACAGGAATATCGCTTATGAATTGTTGTTCAGTGTTAATCTTCGGTCACATCTTGGCGATCGGTTGCCCAATGTGGATTTGCTAGGATTGCTTCATATGTGGTAAGACATTGCAGTATTTTTTCCTTTTCTTTTTAAAATATCGATCATAAATCAGAATCGTTTTACTTATCCAATTTTGCTTTATGTTTCGAAGACCAGTTGAAATCGCTTTGGACTCTTTCACCTTTCAGGGGTTTATGATATAAACTTATTCTCGAGGCTGTTTCTCTTTCGATGCGAAAGAGTAAATGATTACAAATTTTGTAATGTGCGAACGAAGCTCAAGAAACGCCTGCTATTTTCCTTTTTTTTTGCGGTACAGAATTTGAAAATGGCTTTGAAAAAAGCAAACATTTTACAACATACTTAAAGCTTTTTCGTCTGACACTCCTCAGAGCATAAAACGTCAGAATAGGTTCCGAAAAAACACGTTTGAAAAATATATACCCAGTTGTGGATCGAAAACAAAACTGCCCCTCAAAGAGAACAGCCTCCTCGATCTTGTAGGTCTAGAAACACTGTTAAAACAAGTGATTCTGCCATTGGTCAACATCTTTTAGACAACCCAGATTGTGCAAAACTCTATAATGACGACATGTTTCGGATAATTGGCAGAGCCCGGTCGTCCTTCCATCTAGCAGTTTTGGAGTCAATCTACATAAAAACGAAAAAGCCGCCATTGTGTAGACAAAAGGAGTTCGTTTTCGCTCTTGGACTCCATTGGTAATTTTTCTTTAGGCTCGCGGCACTGATTGGTCAACTATACCGGTCTTGTGCTTGCGTTTTTCTGATTGGCCTATTTCGAGCCACAACTGGGTATATATTTTTCCATCGTGTTTTTTCGGAACCTATTCTGACGTTTTATGCTCTGAGGAGTGTCAGACGAAAAAGCTTTAAGTATGTTGTAAAATGTTTGCTTTTTTCAAAGCTATTTTCCTTTTCTTAAGTAAGAACATCAATTAATCATAGCCTGATATACCCTGGTTGGTTAGTTCTTAGCCCCAATGAAATAATTCGAATTTCTAACAACTCCAAATTGAATTCTGACATCTAAAGGTTTTTGAGTTTCAATATGATTGTTATTAAAGGGGTGCTGCGAAATCGCGTTTAGCTGTTGTATCGACAAAGTATTGTTTAAGTTGTTTCTTCCCAAAAACTCTCAATGAAGCTAGTTTGCTATATCCTCCCGTCCTGCTAAAAAGCATTTTGCGCAACTCTCTACATTCTCTTCCACGTTTTTATATCAATTTATATTGTACTTCATTATTCTATCAACTCGTGGCACGATATTTCCGTCGAGATGCGCTTTCTAGATTATATGTGCTGCGTTTTTGCTGTGCCGCTGTCATGCTTGATCATATACGCACGTGTGATATCACGAACGAATATACCTCTGGGAAACGATGACAATAGCCCGGTCTCCTCTTATCGTCGCAGCATTTTCCTCTTGGCTGTGAAAGGGGGATATAGGCCCATCTTTTACATGGGAGTGAAATGACTTGTTTAGCTAAATTATACGTGGTTTTTAAAGTGTATGATAGCTATTTTTATGATTTCTGCCACTTTATTGTCAAGAAACTGCGTGAAATCTCCTTAAAAGCGAATATTATCAAATATGAATTTTGTTGCTGTATATAAGTCGATATAAGTAGTGAAAAGAAGGGATGATGGAAGTGTGGGCAGTTACAAAGCTGTTTGCCCCCACTTAAATGGTGTTTATCTAGTTCTAAGTGCTGGTTTGCATTTTCTATCCGTTACGAGTAACGTTTGCGAAGACCCATAATGATAATATAAATTTCTCCTTGACTAAACTTTTACCCTTTGTAGCGACTCTGCAAGAAAACAATCAACCGATAATCCTCTAGAAAATATTTACAGCATAGTTAAACCAAGATTAAGGTTATTTGTGTACAGGATGTTGTATTCGCTGCAAATCATCAGCAAATACAGCGATATTCTGACGCAAACATTTACCCCTGTGAAAAAATGGGAAGTTGACCTAAAAAACTCGCTTGACGATTGACAAACTAAGAGTTTGTCACTCGAAATGTTGTCATGGGGCGGAGCTTTTGTTTTCGCTGAACAAGAGATATCAGCAGAGGCTGTCATTTGATGGTGCTTATACCAAGTGTGATTTCCTTCCAGCGTATCGTGGTTGTTTGCATGTTTGTAATGCCAGTTAGAAAGGCATCGTAGAAAGTGGACAGGAGAGACGTGTTATGAATAGAAAAGTTATTTGTACGTGTATACACAGAGTGTTTTGAGCTACAGTTAAAGGTCTAAGCCGTGCCACAGCATTTGCAGATAAAAATACTGCACTACAAGGGAGTCGAAACATGAGGAGAGGCAACGAGGTATTTCAATGAATCGATCGCTTTTGAACCGCAAAAATGCCTTTTTGATTTGATATTTTACTGACGATTAGCAAACATAATATATACAAACATTTTTATGGGAAATATAATCATTTTCGTTTCTTTATAATTATAATCATGGAATTGTAATAAAGTTCGGTATTGAAATTTCCAACTAACGCTGCTGAAGTTATTGGCCTAATTTCAATGTAGGAAGGAGTAAAAATACATGATAGTTCAGAGTAGTTTAGTAATGTTTTCTTGCTTGCGTAAAACACACCTTGACTTTGATATGCCGATATAAATATTTTCACCATTTTTGTTCATCTACCTTTGTTTTTGCGTAATCCCTGTAACTTTGGCAGTATCCAAGAAAGATATTGATCGCCAATCGAAAAGTAATATTTCTACTGTAATATTTTGTGTTCTTGCCAAGTAACGTAATGTTACACATTAATGGCCATCTCATAACGTACTGTACACAAAATTGCAGCATCGTTATAAATGATCTATGAAAACTAAGGCAACGATCTTTTGTACCCGGAATGCAAGGAAATTAAACGGAGCTAAATGAAATAATACCGGAAAAATATCTTTAAAAAATTGTTTGCAGCTTGGATTGATCTATATAAAAAAGGAAGCAAATTTATCTCCTTTCTGCAGCTTTGTAATGTTTTTATAAGCTCGTTAATAACGCAGTCGTTATCTTTCGTTAGCTGTCCCGAATCTTCCAATCTCGGGAAATTCAGTCAATGTTGATATTCCTACTTTCCATTTTCTGCTTTCAATTTCCAGACACCAATATGCGACATTAGTTTTGCGAGAGAGTCGACTTAGCCCCTTTCTGTATAGAGCATAATCCCAGTGTTTTTTGACAAGGGATTCGAGGAAAATTACTCCTAAGCACGTGCTGTCATTCCTGTCAAGTTGATCTTGACGCTACGTTGACACTGTCAAACCTCAGAATCAATGTGCGGTTGTGCTTGGTGCATCCAGTCATAAATTCACTTGTAATTTGCAATTAATTTTGAATTAGCTTTTCTCTGATTCCTTTTAGATGGCCACAATCATACCACAGCAGAGGCAAGGCCGCTCGGCAGCAGAGGCATTGCAGATGTCGGCATCACCTTGCAGCCTGTGCGCTGCCAGGCTTTTGGAACTGAAAAGGCAGGCAATGAAGGTGATGATGATCGAATACCACAAGTCAATGCTGAAGACGAGCGCTCCATCGGTGAGTTTTTCATTTCTTGGACAAATCAATGTTTGCCTCTGTGTAACAAAATTCTTAATTCAAAGCTTTGTCATTTTCTATTTTTGTCAATTACGCATTGTTGCTTTTATTTAAGAACCTTTTTACTTTTGCATATTTTTAACAATAGAGAAATCGCTTGCTTCTTTGTATTTAATCAAAATTTCTCTTCTTCGCTGTGATGGTGAAAGTGACAGCGAAGGGGTTTCCCAATTGCATCCTTCAACTGAGGTTTCATTCGAAGTAAGATGTTAAAGAACATCTACGTTGTCGAGGAAGCTTTAGGTGCTTATCCATTAACAAAGCAAAGTGTGTGCTGGGGTCTTGGCGTAATCCTTCAGAACGAAAATCCCTGGAATGTAATAAGCAGGTTACCAATAAAACGATATTGATCTGAAGCAGAGGGCATGTTCTTTCATGTTAAATCCTTCGACAAGAACAGTCAACGATTATGAAATCGCCGTGATCACATTTTCAGTTAAAGTAACTGCCATTATCATCAGCATCATCATTATCATCATTATCATTAAATAGCCATCATAATAATCATAACCCGTCATTACAATCATCAATCAACATGATTATCAAAATCATAAACGACATCGACATTGTCATAATCACATCCACCATACCGATTATCCGACCATGTTAGTTTTCGGAGATTGTGCCTCTTTCAAAAGTGGGATGACACCCCAAGGTGGCTTTTCAACACCTAAAAAAACTACCATCGGCTATTTGACACCATTGCACCTTTTTGCTGTCAGTAGTTTTGTTCGACCTTTCTCTGTGATGAAACCCCTAGGGCGGATCACGATATTTCCTCTCATACACCTTCACGACAGATTTTCCATACATTGGAAACTTTAGATAATGCTACAGTGATAAACAGCTTTCTAAGGTCATTAGGAAAAGATATTTTACTCGGCGAAAGCATTTTCTTACTTCAAAGGAACTTTGAACAATTCCTTCGATACATTCTTTTGCCTTTACGTAATGCTGGGGTAAAACCAGGGATGTAGCGTGTGGGGGTTTACACCCCCCAACTTTCAGAGAACTCCTCGGTAGAAGTAAATTTGCAACAAAATATTAATGTAACAAAAGAATTTCTGTCGGTGAAATATGGTTTTGCATCTCTTACACCGCCCCCCGCACCCCCTCCCCCCAGCGAGAATGGACACGCGACGCCACTTTGAAAAAGAGAGGATTTTTGTCGAGGGACAGTTCACTCTTGAAAATAGCGTTCGCTGTTCTACCAAAACGAGAAGAATAACAGGGATTTTTGGCTTAAAAAGTTTTGTAGGCTCTTTGGAAACCCATTGGGTCCTGAATATACCGAAATTCAGTGGTCATGTTAGCTTGTCTTTAGTCACTGCTTTTGAACTGCCATTGAACAAGCATTGATATCGTAAAGCAACTCAAGATTGCTTGAGCTTACAATGAATTCGTACAATTTGAGCATAAAGCCGCGACTGGAAACTGGGAGAGCGATTTTGCTCTCTTCAGGTCTCTTCCGTCAAGCAATACAGCCCGGATATCGAGCCACCAGGGCGCTTTGCAAGGGTGGCCAAAATCAGAACACTGCTAATTAGCCCGGTTCAAAAGAGACGGGCGTACGCAAGGAAACCATCTGACGATTTACACGATCTGTTAAAAGCTTTTTTGAATAATGGTCAGAAGTCTGAGCACCACGCTCCACACTTGCTAGCACAGTATACAGACGTTTTGTGGCGTTTAAAGTTTGCACTTAGTAATCGTTGGTACTCATTTTACGAAAGCGGATACTAATCAGTAAAAAGGTACGATACGATCTTAACTCAAGGCTAGTAGGCTCAAGATAGAGTTTCAGTAGGAGTGGTATAGCTTAATAACAAATTTGGTTTGAAATGTTTGATGAAAGAAGACAGCCTCTTGTTTCAAACACTAAGTAGGTGATCAGTTCATTTACTGGACCCTTGTAGACGTCTGTGTGTCTGGTAAGTACTAAAGTAACTGTATTTTCATTTAGTTTCGTTTTATGTTTTTTTGGTGTATGTCAATAAAACCTGATTGAATTCGCCACAAGATAGGGTGCAGAATCAAACATGCTTTTGACTTTTCTATCTACCGTTAAAATAAAACCGGGCACAGAACAGACTTAACCCGTCGTAAAGACTTTCAATTTGTGCATATTGGCTTGTCGTAGCTATTTTATAAGTATTACAGAGTTTGTTTCGACTAATTCAACTTGTGAATTTCGGTCAAATTTAAGTTTCATATTTAAATTACTTCCTATTTTCAAATTATTTATTCCAAAATTCTTACAATATCTACCACATGACTCTCAAACGGTAGCGAAATGTTTTAGCGCTTCTTGCTAGAACTATTTCATTTTATTGGAGTATAATCAGTGATAAAATATTTCCACAGTCAACTGCCTGCGATGAATTCATCGTGGATGGCTTTCTTCCAGCCTCGGCAATGCTTCATGCTTTCTTTATTTAACATGTGAAACTTGTTGCTCCTTTTTGTCACAGCAGAGTACAAACATTATGCCCATTCATATTTTTGCCCGACTTATCACTTACTTCACAAATCTTGTGCACGTTTGTCATGATAAGCAGCTTTTGTTAAATTTATCTGTCAACCCGCTGCAATTTCCTCCTTTCCTTTTGGCAGCCCCAGCTCTGCTCTAAGATTTTTCAGATTGCTGTCTACTCTTGGAAAGTAAGACAATCTTCGGAAATTTCCCATTACACCTGGCGACTAACATTTTTATCGTCTTCCTATCATCAACTGAATTGTAATTTCATATTGGCTGTCAAAAAACTGTTTACAACGCTGTCTACATTGTTAAGCTGGTTTATAAACCTTTCTTAAATCAATGGAAATTCTGCTCATCTATATTCAATTAATTGCTTTTATATCGTCAAATATGTCTATGAACGCCTAACCGTTTAAAATCAATCAACTAAATCGCTCTTTACTGCTATTGCTAATTATTCTGATCATTAAACACGAATCGTTAATCATAATCAATGTCACCATCATCGACCCCGCTATTTTTCGTGTAATCAGTTTTGTCCACGTCATTTGGCTGTTACCATAGAGATTGCTGCCGCCCGCGCCAGTCCAAAAAGTCAACAGAAGCTATGACGCCAGCACAAACAACCGCAACAGCAACTTTTTACTGCCTTTCTGCGTTTTCAATGCCCGAGTAGATTTCCTTGCCTTGCAATAAATCTCTATGCTGGAGCTTCCTGTACTTTGTGCAGATATACTTGAGTTGCTGCTACAGAACGTGCATTTGTAAGATTTTTCAAAATCTACCCGCGGGACTTCGAAACATAATCGTGTATGTATGATACGTCCACTATGCAAAATGGGACGCAGAGATCGAAACAATTATCAAATTTTTGGGGATCATTTGACTCCCAGCATGTGGGGAATTTGGGTGCTTCCCATTTCAACTCCATTCTTGATACCATAGAAATTTCCTGGGGGAGGAAAGGTGAAAATTTGCCTTCATTTTTTCTTGGGCATAAGATTTCCTTTTCAGTTACCTTGCCTAAAAGTTATATAATGGGTCTCTCCAACGAATTAAATATTGTAGTTCTTATATGATCCTTTTGTTTCAAGACTCGTGGACTATTGAGATCATTCACAAAAGCGTATTGATGTTCTGACCGTCTAAAGGCTCTTTCTTCTTTTTATGCTACCAGCTTACTGTGATCAGTTGACTTGATTTTCGAATTCTTTCGGAATTTATCGATGAACCGGTGCCTTATCCTTCAAAAATTCCTTCATAATGACTGGATCAAGCTTAGTTATGGTGAAGATCTGCGAGTTATCTCCTCTTGACCCTTGGATACACCCTCGGTGTTACCATAAAACTATTCTATGCTTCAATCAGCATGCATCCCGTGTTTTAAAATCTGTTTTTAAGGGATTTTAGGGAGAGTCTATACTTGGCTTCCAGTTTCTGATTTCTTTTATGAAGCTCCTTGATTTTCGATGTCATTTGTTATGTTGCTACCTCATGACCTCGATTTGGTCTCAAATTCAATCCTTCTCAACCAGGAATTAAGCATTTTAATTCTTGTTGGTCTTTTTATCCACGAGGCTCCTGTTTGCTTTCAGATCTAAGCCTCTCGCTGCAAATGAATACGAACTTCCTTTTCCTTTTACCACGCCAGGCGTTTTAGTATTTATAGCTTGTAGTGCCCCAGCTTGAATCCAGTATTCTCTTCAAAACAGTAATCAACCTTAGGCATTTAGGTCTAAAACCTACTGAAAGTCCCTCAACCACCCGTATTGTTGTTTACTCATGAATTTTGACCTTTGTAACCAATCAGTACGGAGGAAAATCTCCTTAGTCAGCACCCTGCGGAGTGGGCCTACCCTTTCGCTTTTGATCCGCCTTTCTGCTAAGCAGATTTTGCTAATAACGTTGTATTTAAATTGTGCCTTGTCACTTCTGACCATCCTTTCGTTCTCGATATTTTCTTGATGTTTTGAGGTTTTCATCTGACCATGACTGCGTGCAGATGTTCGGAGTATGGTAACTAGTAACGTGATGCGTGGCAGTAAAGTTGAGTAAAAAGGCGTTTTAAATATTGAAATGTTTATAAAGATGGGTGTTACAAAAGAAATTGCAATGGTATTCGCTGACAAATAAAAGAATACAAATCTGTTGCCCTATCTATAGAGGTCTATGCCGTTGTATTTTATCAAGACCACACCAGTGTAGACATTCTTGATCAATTTGAGATGGTGAACTTTCTGAGAACTTTAAATGTGTAGCGTCAAGTTGAACGTCGTAATTCTGAATATTGGCTGTTGTGAGTGTCCTGTTATTGCAGATCTCTGGTGTAACTGAATGCAGTTTTGCACTACCAGCAATGTATAGCTCGATAGTTGTATGCAGAGAGCACTTGAGAGGGCAATCGTCGCCTCGCGGTTATTGCGTCATAGTAATGTTTCAAAGCACGTAAACATCAAAATATGACGATGTAGACACTGAAGGAAAGTCACTTATGTTGACAGAATATCGTCGAGAGCAATTTTATAACGAAGCCCTGATTTTAAAAAAAATGACCATACTGTTAAGTTTTTTGCAATAGAGACAGATATTGAGTTTGTTATTGGAAGTGGAAAATTGCTGCAAATTCGCCCCTCATTTGCAAATGTACTTCCCCTTTGCTTGTTTTTGATACCCCCATTGCAGTTTCGTAAGTACAAAGGACTTAAGAAAAAATCTCTCAGGTTGATAAAGGGTTATTGACCGTGAAAGAAATTGCTTTCGTTTAATCCCGTCTTTACTGCTCGTAATACTCATGCATACACTCGATTACTGGAAATCAATGAGATCTGTTTCGCGGAAATTTGTACATGCATTCACTGCTTGTAGACATAAACCTAGAAATTGCCATACACGGTTATTTTTTACCTCAATATAACTCTCCTTTTGTCAGAAATTAAACAGACATTTGTACTTTTCATTAGCATTTGTTATTTCCGATGTTTTAGCACGTCCAAGATTATCAGTGATACCGGATTCGTAGTATGAACGACGCCGGAAAATTTCTGCAACCGCGATTTTGTCGGCCGCGTCCGCAATCTTAACAAGGTCTTATCAGAGACACCGCTTCCTTGAAACGATCATTGACAGAAAATTATTGTATTATTTACCCTTTGAAATTAAAATTGTTTGTAATTAAAGGTTAATTACGTTTTGTAATAGCTGCCAAAGTATTCCATACACAAAGTTTCACCCATTCATTCATATTTCTGATGCGTACAAAGTTTGGTTCGCGTCATATTTTTACAACTTCTTGTAAAAAGACTTTATTGTTCGCCGACTGCTATTTCCGATACAGAACATACTGCATTAGCTAATGGTTGGCAAATATAGAACAAGAAGTATGATCGATATTCTGGATGGGATGTAACCACTGTGATTGAGGTCGTGAGGTTTTTTGCTAGCAATGGATTTTAAGGTGGCCGGTTTCGACTCGTGAGCTTGGATTTGGTGGATATTTGCGAATTTGTTTGTGGTTTTCTATCATTTGAAATTGATCTCAAGTCTTCCACAGCACCACAAAGTTCAGCGATTTCTCAGGAATACATCCAGACACATGCCAAGTGATATTTTGTTTCCCTCTAGGTACAAATTTCGGATTTTCGTCCTTTCTAGTTTTCGCTGATGTCCATTTAAATATAGCGTTCTTGCGTTCAAGCCTTGTTGGCTAACCCACGTGAGGTTTGAAAGTTTTTCGAATCCTAACCCGATTAAGTTTCTCAAAAGGAAACGTTTGCAACTAGAAAATTCGCTTTTTTTATTCTAAGGACAGCCTTCTTACGTATTTTGTCTGTTTTAGGTTGGATCCTTGTTCTTAGCCGTTTACGAGCAGCTGCGTCTACCAGACAGCTACAGAAGCGCCATTGAACGCGATCAGTGCGAACATTGCTCGACCCATGTTGAACTGCTTAAACGCGAAGCGGTCTTATCCTTGCACTCGGTCAGCATTGCACCGTTTTTGCCGAAGAACCTGGTCGCAGCATCGAAAAGCATGAGTGGGGAACAAGCTTTGAATTCGCCGCAGAGCAAGCATCGTCCTGCTGACCAAAGTGTGCACCAGACCGCAGAAAATATGGATGCAAGAAAGTGTAAGTGGTTTTTGTTATCTTTAGTGGATTTCTTTCAAGGGTTTTTATGTTATCATCTGTCACAGAGAACAAGATGGTACTTTTTCTCAGAAAATCCAAGTATAGCGGGTGATACTAGCAGAAGGATCTTTACAAGCAACATATATGCTTAGCAATCCACCCAAAGTAGTTTACATGCATACAAAATGCAAGCAGTGAAACATGTGTCAGTTGTTAAGTTCTTTGCTGTAATCTTCCAATTCAAAATCTTTAAAGGTTGCTGTTTTTGCTTCTGGCTAATTTGTAGCAGCTCGTTATCCTGAAACGCACCAGATAGTTTTGAGGTGAAGCTTATCACCCATGCCGGAGGCCTCAAAATTCTTGATAGATTTCCAAGAGCTTATCAAATATTGCCAATTTGCATCTTCCCACGAAAACCAGTGTTTACTAGATTTTCCGTGTTCCTTAGGCTGAACAATATACACCAGGCGGTTTTAATTCCAGTCTGGAATTCTTGCTTTAACCAGTCAACCAGTATTGTTGTCTTTGTAACAGGACCAAACGAACACTCTGCCATTACGACAGTACACATAGAGGGCATAGTGTGGGAAAAGTTTGCAACCACTCTTTGGCAAAAAGGCTTGTTCAAAAGTATTTGGCAGGTCGGGAGCTACTATTTTTCTTTAGGGGGGGGGGAGGTGAGGGGAGGAGACTCATGCCACTACAATAATCCTTTATTCGAAACGAACAGTCACTTATCCTCCTATTTGCCCCAAACAATCTTGTCCCTCGAATAACTCTCTCTTCCTACGGTTCTGATTTGGGCCAAGGCCCCTTGGCCTGCTTAACACTGCAAATGATACTTCTTTTTGTTGTTCTCAACATCCATGTATCAACATTGAATCACAATCTATGCATCAGCCAATCATTGCTCTGTTTCATTAAAAGCTGGCCATTATCTTTAGATCTACGCGTTCTCTTCACATTTCACCTCTTTAGCTTATTAGATGTGAGTTTCTTGCAATGAAGCCGACTTTCACGAAAGCGAAAGAAATTCAGTGGCCATGCTTATTTAACTTCGATGAATAGACTATAGAGCACAGATACCCCCCCCCCCCTCACCATATATATGCTAAGGAAACACATCAAAGGAAGGGATTTTAACAGTCGGACTGCGTATACTTGTAATTTGCCCTTTCTTGGTTTTTTCTGTTGATTGCCCAATCACGGGAAAGACAGGCCAACGGAACGGGGACAGATTGCCCCCGGCCCCGAGCTGAGAGGGACGCCAAATGTTTATAACAAAGCTTCTCACAATAACAACAACAATAGCAATCAAAACTTTGATGACGTCATCATGGGCCAAATCTTAATTTTCCCCATGTTAAAGAAAAGTTCTTGGCAAGTCTGGGTACAGTAGGGGGCAGACACGTTTGAATGTTCTTTTTGATTGAAAATATGTAAAAGCATTTTTTATTTATTGTTCCAACAAAAGAATTCCTGCGTTTTGAATACTGTTTAAATCATTAGAAAGAAATTGGCATTTGATATCTGTAATTGGTCATTAGGGGTCGCTTATTATGCACTTGTACCTCATGGTGCGGGCAAGAATGAAATTAAATGAATTGGAGGTGTGACTTGTTAATTGATTCGTATGACAGATTTATCGGCTAACGGTAGATGAAATATGCAGGCCAAAATACGTGATGTTATCCGCAGAAAACCTAGTACCCTCTTTCAGTTGCTGTAGCTGAAGCAAAGTTCATTGTAAGTAAGTTTTCTAGTTATCGCTAACAAGATTTCATTTTAAATAACGTATGCATTTTCACTGTTTCGATTTATTGCGGAATCTTCAATGTAAACTAGCACTGAGTTTGGCGTTCCTTTCATAACCTTAAAGAAACATTTCTATCTAGCCTTAATACGTAAGACACAAACTTAACTAAATGCTTCATCCTTAGAAAGTTATCGTGATCATCCCGCACGGAACATAATATTTTATTGCTTATGACATGCTTGAGGAAGTCATCTATTAGGCCTTTATTCGTAATAAACTGTTTCCTTTTCTAATTTTACGTCTTCTGCTCACTTCATGGATCTATAAACGCAATTTATTGTGGTAATTACCAGATCTTCACGAATTTTCATTCACCCTGTTCGGCTGCCTACAAGGCTTCATTGAAATTTGTTGCTTCACAACGCGATATTTCATTGAAATTCACCAAGACTTCTAGAAGGCATGTCCACGTGGTGATAGTAGTGTGAAGGCGTAATGAAATTACAGGTAAGAGAAGGGACTAAAAGTAAATGGTGCAATTCTTGGTACTTAGTTTAGGGTGATTTTTTGGCACTTATCGTGGTCAAGCATTTCTATTCGTGGCTTTGGTATTAACTTTTTATATGTCTTCTGATTTTGTGCTCAATTATATCACTCTTCCTTTATTTGCCATTTTATATTATCGTTATATCAAACTAACGCTTTTTTGATGTGAAGAACAGAAATTTTCGATTGCTTCAGTGACGTCATCTTCTTAAATCAGGTTGCACTCTTGTACTTTCAACTTGCTATTCACTTGTCACGTGATTTTAAAAGCCTGCCAACTCTACTTTGCTCTGTTGAAATTATCATACTTGTTTTATTTGCTCTTTTGTCTCCGTTTTGAGTGAAGTTGTCTGCTTTTTGGGTATTTTACACCCTAACGACCCCAGCAGATAACTAATACAAAACCGAATAACGGCCTGTTTGCTGTCTACTTATAAACGGAAAAGAGATTTCATTTGACAGGTAAATGCAGAGAACCACATGATGAAGCAGTGGGTTTACAGAGAATGAGCTCAGTTGCTTGATTGAACTCCATATTGGGGGTATTTCTGTTCTCTGTGAAGAATTTGTTAATAGGAAATCTAATTACACGCATCTACCTTTCTGCCTGTTAAAAACTACCTTGCATGATCTCTCGCTTTTTATATTTCAGGCTTGTGAAAAGGAGAACTTAGCTTCTCATTGAACGCCATTTTGTATGACTTTCGTTTTTCTAAGCAGTTATTCAAGATACAACATCTATGTCTTGTCGACACCCAAAATATACTTCTCTCCCCGTTGCGTTCAAAGGGAACCTGGCTAGATTCAACCACTGAACATCGAGAAAAAATATTTACACCCCCTGTTGAATGAATCAGTTGTTTAAGAGCCCCCGTGTACATATGATTCAGTTGTCAGTGACGTCACAGAATAACAGTAACAAACTGTGTTAATTGTTTACCCAGAATATAAAACAGCAGGTTGGGCTTGGGAGTCTTTGATTTTTGCTTATCGCAACCAGAACGACGGTGCTAAAAATACGAATAGATGTCTTGAGCTGCTTTTCTTCCATTTCAGCGATGGCTGCACCCAAAACAGCCACAGCTCACGCCGTCGAAACGCTTCAAAGAGAGAATAATCATGTTAAACGTGGAGGCATGACAGTTGCACCCAATGACATGCAGCAACAAGGAGGACAAGCTGCAGCAATATTCTTTGCCAAGTACGTTGTAATCTACATTGTCTTTGTTACCTAAGTGTTTTGCTGTTCTTCATGTAACCAATTCGAGCGACTTCTTTCTCAAAGGTTCGGGCTGGATCCTTCCATTCTTTTGTCTCTGTTCTCAACAATATTCTGTGTGGGTCTACGAAGGGTGAGCCAAAAGTGAAGATTTCTTTAAAACTTTCAGATGGAAAATGACTAGAACTTTTGAGGCTGAATAATACCAAAATAGAAATTAAGGTTTATTTATCAGTACAAATGCTCCTTGTCTCTCTAAGAGCCCCCTTTCAAGATTTCTGGCAAGGCCAGTGAAATCGTCGATTTTAGTTTCCAGAAGGAATGCTTTAATTTCACTGCAATCTTTTCCTAGGGCACTCGTTTTCAAAATGCTCTCTCCCTTAGCCTAAAAGTTTGTATTTATGATTTTGAAATTTTTTTATGGTACTCTGGCAACGCTAAGAGTCACTTTGAAAAGATAAGAGTCACTTTAAGCAATACAATTTTGCATTCCTACAATCTTAGAAAATGGCCATGAGATCATACGTAACTTGAATGTTAACCTGATGATTAAAAATGTTTCGAAGACATTGGCAATGAGATTTCCTGCTCGTGTTTTCTTAAAAAACTGAAACGACGAAATAAGACGCGAATCTGCTGTAGACTGTCTCTTCATAGAATGTGAAATAGGCAGAAAGCCTAAAGGTGACATCCGTTTATAGGAAACTCAATGTCGAGAACAAGAATTGATTAAACGATAGGCCGGATTTTTATATACGTTTGGCTGTGATGTCAGGCTTAAGCGGGGTTGGTTTCTGTCTACAGATATAGCGACGTTCAAGCTGATTCAGGGAGAGTCGGATACTGCTCTGGATTAAACGATAAAACGGCACGTTTGGCACGCAGCAGTGAGCGAGTTACTGTGCCGTGTATCATAACATGCTAATAAGAACAGCGACCTGAGCTATCAAGAAGGCTTTAACAACTTATGCTATCGTTTCTTGATTCTTCATTACCCATCACAAACTTTAGTTTGCAGTCACCGAAAACCCCTTACAATCGCATGGACTTCTAATGAACCTGAATGCTACTTGTGCACTTTTGTGATTTCTCTAAAGTTATTCTTTGCAGCCCATAAACTAGATAGCGGCTTTGTTTCTGACCTCATCAGCGTAATGTCAAACGTGAGGATTCTATTAATGCAACTCAGTTGAACCCTGGAAGCTTTCTTGTAAAGAACCGAAACAACATGAACGTTCCATTGATGAGGTCTTTTAAATCATTTCAACTAAAAGGTACCGGGCTGAATTCTTTCTAAAAATGTACTCCTTAGTACCAAAAGTGCTGTTTGCCGACAAATGATTTGTAACTTAAGTACACGAGAAAAAACCATGAAATTGTCAAGCCACTGTACTGAATCACGAATTCAAGCCGAGGCATTTTCAAAAGGAATGACACCAAGTCTACAAGAAGCAGGATCAGAAAAACACTACCACGGTATCACCTATTACGAGCAGGGCCGTCGAGAGACGGGCCGGGCCCCAGGGCTGGGACTGTCATGGGGCCCCACCGTTGAAGGCTGCAAAAACCTTTTTTGGGTTACGCCCTTAGCAATGCAGTTAGATAGACTGTAAAAGGCATGAATTTTGTAATCAACGCCTCTGAAACACTTGAATTTGTATTTTAAGGTCTTTAACAGAACATGTATTTAGTGACTATATAAAACAAATCATTAAAACAAATAAGACTTAATTTAATGTTTAAAACACTGCTTTTCTTGCTATCCTCATGGCGAAATCCTTAATCTTTTCCCACAATCTTTTCCAGCTGTCGTTCGCTCCCCAACCATCAGGAGAAGCCAATTTTGATTTTATAAGTATTATATTATATATATAAGTATATATATAATCAACTATTATAAATAGTGTGCCCAAACAACCTGCATGGCAAACAATAGAGTGCAGCCTTTGTAGGACTGAAAACAAGCCAGCTTCTTACTACCTCCCCATTTTGCTGCTTCACATCTAGGACCGTTGTTGGAAATTTGTGGCCGTCGCAATCTTTGGGAAACTCTGGAGGATGAGGCAAATGACCAGTTTTAACAACTTTTTCTAACTCCTTTATCGTTGGAAATCCGGTCAATGTGCCGACATCAAAACTAAATGATCCACTATGAACAGTATCTTGATTTAATGACGAATCAGTAGTGCTTTCTCTACTTTCTGTGGTGTCATGGTCTACCGAAGGAGCCAAGCCGTTTGTGTCTTCTTCTTCTTCAGCAGTGCTTTGAACAGAGCATTCGCCAGGTTTTTTTAAAGTTGAAATCACCTTCCTTGTCTCTTTTGTAAGCACCTACCTCAAACAATGTGCGAGAGGCCTTCTTTGCTTCTTTTTCTCGTATCTTTTTTTCCTGCCTTTTCTGAGCACCAGACTTGTGCCTGTAAGATGGCATCGCAGGGGTTGGTTGGATCGTGATCCCGCTCAGTGATTTTGATAAAGACTTTCATAGCGTTTAGATTTGTCTTGGTTTTCGCATGTGCTTTTTCTCTGGTGTACGCCGTGAATGGAAGATTTAGTTCTACGTTTATAGGAAGTCCACACAAGGAATAACTAAAACATTTGACCTAAATGTAGATATATGTAAGTGCAATCGAATTTTTCGGCTTCTGGAGAAGTATATTATGATCGTATCGTCAATGTTTTAATTATAAACCATAACAAGAAAAGGCGTTCATCATAGACCAGCTTGTTGATCAAATGTTGAAAGATTAAATTTCGAATATCAATCGGGTCATGGGCCCGCCCTGCCAATGCTGCTCATAGCCAAAAATATATACCTTATTTTCTACGGGCCCCTCAAGGCCCGGGCCCCCTGGTAACTACCCTGGTTACCCCCCCCCTCTCGACGGTCCTGATTACGAGAGCAAATATGTGATTAACAAAAACTGTACACTTATTCCCTTGGTCCTTATACTTATCAACCCTTAATTTACACAATTTTAAACTAGAGTATGCCATCTGAAAAGGAGTATGCCATGTGCATTTTTGTGATGCTACGATTTATTGATCGTCGCGTTTAGTAGATATATTGGAAGTGTTGCAGACAAAGGGCAGATAACCTCCCATGAATAGGACTGAGGATTTTTGGTTCGGAGCAAACGCTTTATCACTGCGCGTAAAAATAACTGACAATAAATTGTCTAAAAGCCCCGTAAAGTTTTCTGGTTAAATCACGTACTGTGACACTAAAGGCGCTATACGACAACAATAGGACTAGAAATTCCAAATGATTGTGGTATCTTTAGATTTAGCGATGCGGTTATAAAATAGACTTGATGACCCAGGTGAATTAACTCTAAAATTTCACCCCTGAGATAATGAGCAAAAGTAACAAATTTACCTTCGTAGCAGTCATTTCGTTGCTAAATAACAGGAAATCCATTCAACTGGCAATCAAACTGAGGCCAATTAAACTGATGTTTGTGTCGTTCCACTGGACCTGTTTTATTTGCCAAGCGACAAATTACCTTTAGCGGCAAAAAATATAATTTTCGTTTTGCTTGCAGGAAAAGCTTAAGCTTTGAAATCTTGTTAGAGTTAACACATGGGGTCTGGTATTCATTCCAACTTGGGAAATTTTTTACGGACAAAAAGTTTAGAAAATCAGATTTAAAACTTTTCAATGTAACCCTAAAAATGAAGTTGATAGAAGACTGGTTATATAGAATAAAACTTTGCTTAAAGGCATAGATTTCCTTCAAATGTGTCAGCCTTTGAATGCTTAAATCTTTTTACCGCATAAATGATAATCTTGTCCAGTTTGTGACAAATATTGAGCCAACAGTTTCTCGGTTTCCAAAAGATCTATTTCGCTGTCGTAAGAGAGTCTAGGAATAAATGATATTTCAAAAGGTCGCTTTTTATCAAAAGAGTTTCTAGGTCTTGTTAGTCACCTAATGCAACGTATTTGAAGTTTAGGCGATATTTTCATCCACGGTTTTGCAGAATCCCAAAACAGCCAACCACCAAACAAGCCTATTTGCGCTTATGAAATCATAATTCTTAAATAATGAATTTTTTGTGTCAAAACACTCACTACGTTACAATCTGCAGGATATTATACTTGTCTTTTCAAGGATTATAAAAATCTTTAGTTTGTAATGTTCTTATGAAAGTTTCCTTTAGCAGAGGCAAGCTTTCCTCCTGCAAAATATGTTCAATGCGCGGTTCTATTCGTCGATCTTTATCGAGTTTTTTCCAAATCTTAATGAATTTCCAGCTGTATTTGTGACAAGGGTTTTGTTTGATGGTGACGTTCTAAATTGAAAATTGATATGTCTGTGTACCTGGTTTGTTTTTCGAGATTGCTTCGTTATCAAGTATCTTAACAGTAGCCCCCTTTTAAGTGAAATCCTTCTTGTATCCTTAAAAAATTGTCATTGTTTCTCTGATTCTCTCAAAATGTTTCGTTTAGTCAAGGTAACGAACATAAAGTGTCCTTCCTCCTTTCTAAATCCCTCATTCGCAGCGTCTTCTCGCCAGATATTTCAATTATCTGAAGTGAATACCGGCGGAGCAGTCTTTGATGTATCATTCTTTCTTGATCCTAGATCAGTCATTTTATTCGTAAACTAATCGACTCAATACAAAGAATTATAACAGCGTCTGTATATTTGTAGACTTGAGAATGGGCCTGATCATATGACATTTCAGTCTTATATTATTTCAATTTTGCTTACCTTGGGTAATGCTCTCTCCTTAGAGCTGCACAGAAGTTTAATATCCCGGCCAAAAAGAAAGCTCGAAAACCTACAGGCCAATACAAATCTCACGCTGATATGGCACAAGAACCTGAAGAAGAAAAGCAATTATTTCCGACGAATTTCAGCCGATGTCTGAGCCGAATGCCCCCATCAAACCCACCCGGGTTGTTCAAATACATGGGGCGAAGAGTTGATGGCAAGGTATGCATCAATAATCGTTCCTATCTGCATTAAATAGAGCATCTCACAGATTTCTAAAAAAGTGGAGACCCAAGAAGCTAGATTCAATTTGAGTCAGCTTTTTATATTTGCACCTCATATATACCAAATTTCCCCTGAATTAAATCTTATTCACAATGATGCCAGATGCTTATAAATCTTAGTCCATCGAGTTTGGCTGCTTAACATCAATGCCATTTTTAGAATTATTTACGACGTTTGACATTTCTTATACCAATCCTCGATTCTTTCCATTGGGTGTTAAAACACAGGTTTAAAAGCAATGCTGTTGACAACGCCTTTTTAAAGTAGTTTGGTGGTTGTCATATGGCTTTCTATTCTTTAATTTCCCTTTAGTATTCCTGCTCTTTTTCACAGGTAATGATTTATTTGTGTTGGAAAGCCTTTTCCTAGATTTTCCTAATGATTATTGAGTGAGAAATTCTTTAAACGGCATCTTTTCTTTCATTTGAAAGTAACAACTCAATCATAATGGTTTTTGTTGTTGGAATAGAAGTTCATAACCTTAAAATGTCATTTGGGACTTCAGGGTCCCCGTAGAGAAAGACAAAACGTAATTAGGAAAATAGGGTTGTTGATTTTTGTTATTCCCAGAAGAAAATGTATAAATTTATTTAAGGTCTTGAAGGTTCCCAACAGATTTATCTTTAATGTGAATAGATTTAAACATTTTTTTGTTAGCATATTTCTGCTGCAAGGCAAATCCATCAAATTGATAGACTGTGTCAAACGCTCCGTTTAGTTGTTGTCCAAGAGTTATTACAGATTAATCCTGTTTTATCAACTACACTTTGTCATTTCAATTGACACCCTCTATGCAATAATCTTCAATTCAAGAAGAAAAGTCCAAAATTTTGATTTGATTTAAGTGAAACGATACTTTATTAAATTTCCGATACAGCGATTAGGATTTGGTTTCCCCTTATTGAGTTTATTAACCACAAAATTCTTATTAATTAAGTACCACGGTCCTTTCGGATGTAGACCTCCCAAGAGCAGTAAATGCCAGTTTAAGTAGAAAGTTTTCATCCCCCATTCAAACTATTTCTTTTTCGGATATCCAGGCCCCCATTTTTCGTAACAGCTTTCGATGCCTGTCTTTTTCCAAATTTTTGAAAGTCATTTTTTGTGTTTTGTATTACAGGTCAAAATCATGCTCCGCATTGCCGCCAGTCCGTCTGATAATGGCAGCTCTGTTCCGCTCCTTCGTGTCGACCAAAGACGAAAGCAAGTCACTCTTTCAGAACCAAAGGACAAGGAAGATGAAACCTTAAAGTCCCTGGGCCTTTCATCGGCCCCAAAGTTGTTTACCTTCGATGCAATTTTTGAGTCTTCAGCAACGAAGGTAGATAGAAAGCTAATCGCTAATAACTCAATGCCTGCAATGAAAATATTTTTTGTTCTAATTAATTAGCTGGCCATGAAGTGTTGACAATTACTTTATTCCTATAATATTTCTTTTTTCCAAGCTGCTATAACCAGGAGACAGGAAAGATCATTGTCTATTATAAATTGCCAATCTTTCTTCGTTATATGGTTCTTTAAAAAACAGAAAGTAAATTCCACATTTCTCTTTTAGACTGAGATTTGCTCTTCTTCACTCCTTGATGTCCTCCACTCTGTTATCAATGGTGGGGATGGATGTCTTCTCGTCTATGGTGCAAGTGGTTTAGGTATGGTAATTTCTCCATTTTCCTCACCTTACCAAGTTTTCCCTAACAAAAGTCCTTGCTTGCTGCTCTTACATTCTTTTTAATTGGTTATGATATTATTTTTAAATGCTTATCTTTAAATCGTATGAATCTTGAAGGTTTTAGAGACTACTTATCTGATAAATCTTTAGATAAATCGAACTAATGATTTTTCCTGGAGCAATTTTCTGATTGCTAATGATTATATTTTCAGGCAAAACCAACACAATGATTGGGAAAGATGATTCCACACAATCACTCGGCGCAATACCATGTGCAGTATCATGGTTGTACAATTTAATCGAAGATAGTAAACACAGGTACGTGAAACTCGAATCTGGACGAATTTTCCTTTCAAGACTTTTACTAAAATGAAATTTTAGATTGCATGTTCAAGCAGCATCGCTATGTATCCTCATTATACTTATTCTCACTGCCAATTTATGTTGCTGCACTTGCAGCTTTCTTTATTCTGCATTATTTTGCAATCTTTTGAAAATGGTGTATTTTTCTCCTTCGTAGAACTGGCGCACGATTCTCGGTTCGTGTTTCTGCCGTAGAAATTGTCGGAAGATCAGAGAATCTTAAGGATCTGCTGTCAGAGCAGGCATCAGGTTGGTATTTTATGAGCAAGATTACCTTGAGACGATTCTGATACCACAGTTGAGCACCGCGTAAAACATACTAGCGTTTTACTTGCATTGAGAAGTTCTGTTGTAAATACTATCGCTTACAACAAACAATTTCAGGAGCTGTATCGTTTTGATATATTTGAGAGGCTGTTGTTGAAAATTGCTTTTGATTAAAGCCTTGTAAATGATTAAAGCTTTTTAAGTGATATCACATTGTTTTTGTCATTTCACCTCTAATGATATCATTGAATAACACTTTTAGGTGCAAGCAGCACTAGTAGTAATGGAACATCTCCTGGGATTTACCTGCGCGAGGATCCGATCGGTGGCGTTCAGGTGGGAATTGTCTTCTGGACAATCTCATTTTCTCTTTTTGAATAACGTAACAAAAAACGGCACTTTTCTAGTTTTTGTTTTGGATGTTTATACAATCTCTTTATGATTTAAAAGTAGAAGCAGTTTATGATTTCATAAAAACAGTTTTAGTGAATATTTGTACTAAAACTGCAATTCATTACGCAATATGTTGTTTTTAGTCCTATACCGTCGTTTATTCGCTAATTTTCGTTTCCTCTCTTTTGCTGAATCTCAATGAATATTTTTCTATCCAATAGCTATCAAACCTGAGTGAACTTCGAGCACCTACCGCTGACAAAGCATCCTTCTTTTTGGACGCTGCGCTTGCTGCTAGAACAACCGTGCCTGTGAACAGCAAAGGTAGATAACCTTGTTTTTATCATAAATAATTGGAATCATCGCAAAGCTTCGAAGGATATTGGGGATCAACATATGATAGGGTTTATTTTCCCCAAGGCTATCATTTGAGCCTTGTACTTAGCAGCGATATAGGTTCCCAAGGGAGCAAATCTCTTTCTTACTTCGCCCCTTGAGATGTTCTTTAACGCTAATTCGATTCTACGAATATCAACAGCTTTTACAAGGCCTAAAACGGCTGCTTTTCAATCTTGTCTCTTAGCTTCGTACGGTTTCAAGATGATTCTTAGAAACCAACAACGTTGCGACAGCTATTAACGATTTAGCCGATGATATACATTAGACACTGAATCAGTCCAAAAAGCAGCTAAACTATTTAATCGCTAATTGCTGAGTGGATTTTAGTTCAAAGTAAATCGTAGCACAAGATTCATGTACAGCTGAGCGCTTCTTTGCATGGTTTTGTCGTTTATCTGTAACTAAAATTGTCATGTCCAGACAAGAAATTTTATGGAACCTTTATGTCATGTTGCTTTTTTAAGAAAACTAGTTGTCATATTTGTGGCGTATGTTTTTCCTGAATCCTAAACCGCGGCTTTTCATATATTCGCGATGAAATTCATTTCGTCTTGTTTCTGTTGAATGCATTCTTTGCATTTCTCGACTTTGAAGCGATCTTTTTTAATGATCCTTTTCTGCTTCTAGTCAAAACTTCGCGATCTTTCTATTCTTAGTTAACTCAACTGTTCCGATCACTCTATTTTTAATTCTCTCCTAATATCGCATTTTTGTGACCTTAAGCTTCTAGCAATTATTTACATTCATTGGCTACCTCAAATCTTCTTAGTATGAAGCTTCTAACCTATAGACTCCGTTTAATCCTAGATTTCCCAAATATCAATGCATGTGCTACAGCTTTTTAATTCGATCGCTCATAGCCAAATCCAGCAAGCGAATCGACCTATAATATTTACATTTCCGCGTCGCCATTTATCGTGCCTAACATAGGCCTGCAGTCATGTTTGTAAATAACTTTCACGATTTAAAGTCTTCCTTGTAAGTCGAATTCACTAAAAAACTCACTTTGTGATCACATTAAATTCATCTGTTTGATAAGATTTCGAAAAAGCTCTTCTAAATTTAATTCGGTTGTTACATTTAAATAAGCCATCGCAATTTTTTGATATGATATTGTGTTGCCTTTGCATTTCCTTCTTATAACACCTAGACTTTACAGCTGTATTTGTTAAAATGCTCCCTGCTTATACTTTATTGCCTAATTCACAATCAACAACTTACTGGAATCTATCTACCTAGTTAGTGATGTTTCAACTTCATCAATTTTCTCGCTACAGAATCACTTGACATCACTGAGCACCAGGGAAGTCACATGATTTTCACCCTGCACGTTTACCAGTATCGTATCGACAAAACAACTGGAAGAGGAGGAGGTACGCATATTAATGTTGTGAATTACTTCATTCCAAACTTTAAGCTCGTTATTTTTTTGCCTAATCGCAACTGCTTCCTCTTCTAACAATCTTTGATTTTATTCTAGTCCACGGAGGGCGATCAAGATTGCACTTGATTGATCTCTCGGCATGGCCAAAAAACTCCTTCAACGATGGCATGTATCATTCTGCACCATCCCAAGCTGCTCTTGGCAAGATTCTTCTTTCTATGCTGAATGGAACAAAGCAAGTTTCCCACAAGTAAGTGTACTTTAAGCAAGTTGATTTTAAACTTCTGTATAATAAGAAATCTGGGCAAGACACATTTAGAACTTACAAAAGCTATAGTGTATGTATTACCTATAAATGCATTGCAATTTCGGTGTGACTTAGAACTATCCTGGCCTAGACACCAAAGCATGTTTAGCTCTGCCCTTACGGTATCTAGCCCTTTACGAGAGACCGGTAAGAAGTACTACCTATTCTTATGTTATACGACTGGCTCAAATTCGTAACTCAGCAATGTGTCTATTGTTGATTTTAGGGACAGCAAAATTGCTCGACTGCTGAAAGACTCTGTTGGAAACTTGACTTGTAGAACGACTATTATAAACCACGTTTCGCCGGACGAAGATCGCTACTCGGAAAGTCTAGCAACTTTAGAAATGGCATCAAAAATTAGTCGCTCGAGGAGAAGAAAGAATAAGGTACATGCAACGAAACCTTGTCTGTTTAAAGAATGCTGTACAAAAACAGCGTAATCCTCTCTCTTCAAATCTTTGATTTTTAGCCTATTTTAGATCCGGTAATCTAGGATATTCGAAATGATGGCTGAAAGTAAATAACTATTTTCCTCCCTGCTATGTTCTAAATGACCATGCAAACAGAGATCAATGTGGAAACCTTTAGTTTAATACGAAACAAAGGTTGATGGAAATCCCTATGTTTTAACGGCGACATTGGCTTTAACTGGAACTAACCACAGACGTTTTACCATACCAAATGTTTGTCAATTTGAGAAATTTTTTTCAGGGTCTTGTCTTACAAATGTAAGGTTCCCAGGACCTTTGTTAGTGTTAGAATCAAGATTTGTTTGACCGAGGCTTTCACATAAAAGTCTCGTTAATGTATTGGCGAATAAAGCATGATTATAGATGATTTTTTGTGTCTATTAATACAACTCAATTTATGTTAATGTATTCGGCCAAATGGAGCTACTAACGATTGTTATTACATATCATCACCGCTCCTAAGTAACTCTGTTTCGCAGTTTTTGCAGTTTTTTGTCTAAACGTTCTTGACATGTTTCTTTATTTTTTTGTAGTTTAATTTTTTGTTATTCTAATTACATACACGTAATTCACTTTAATCAAATCTCTTTACAGTACTGCAGTGCAAGCTCCTCCGGTGGAGAGAGCTCCTGCGATGAGGGCAAGCTGAGCAAACGCCTGCCACGCCCACCAGCAATTCGAACATGTGGCATTGACGTTGGGACGAAGCTCGAAGTTAGTGATTACACATCAAGTGCAGGAGAAGATTCTTGCGATACAGTTATCTACGTTGGGCCTAATGGACGCATCAGCGATCAAGATCTGACGGACAATGAAGGTCCTCCAATCGAGAGCGTATCAACAAACACGAACAGTATTTTGCTTCCCACGTGCATGGAAGTCGAGCGCGAACCTACACCGCCTCCTGTGCAGAGAAAAGTCAACATTGTGAAACCAATGCCGGTTTCAGCTAGCAGTCTAAGCGATGCGTCAGTTTTTTCCGACGATAACCAGAGATCACCATCTCCAATTCATGTAGATAATACTCCTAGTTTGTCCAGTACAATTAAGCCCCGTATTGGCGACTTCATAATGTCCGATTGTGAAGATTTCGACGGTAGAAGATCGCCAAACTTTGGGCCTAGAATTGGAGCAATGATTGATGTAAGGGGATGCAGTGATAAAGCGGATCTAGAAGCTGAAAATACGGTGTCACTTAACAATGATGATTGCTTGCCAACGGGAGAAACAGACGTTGAAGCGAGGCATGATAGTGTCTTTTGCGAGACCGATGAGGATCGTATCGATCTGTGTTCTGCTATTAAGTCGTCTCGACAAGGTTTGAAATATGACATAAATGCCAATGAGAAGTTAACTTCAAAGGATGACGAGGTTATTGAAGTATTCGTAGACGATGAACAAAACAAAAATTCGTTAGAAGAGGACCTTCAATATGGTAACTTAGATGAAAACAGTAAAAGTATTGTTTCAGAGATAATTGCAAAAACGAGACCTAAAGTCGATTACTTCCAGCATGAAGTAGACGAAGATGAGCTTTCGTATCTCCACATGGGACCTGTGACTGAGAAGGAGCTTCGAAAGTCTGAAAGGAGAATTAAAAAGCTGCTTAAAGGAGGCCTTATTGATATGAGCCATATTCACCGAAGTCGGGATGTCAACGGAGAATCAACAAGCTATATGTCGGAATGTGAAACAGATTACGCCAGACCTGTAGTTAAATCAGAGAGGAAAGAATCGAGTGGCTACTCTTCGGCACCTGAAACCGAAAATCGTCGACGTAGAATACAGAGAATCTTTAAGAAATCATTCGAAGCAGCTGATGCGAAAATGCAGCCCGAAGCACTGAGGGAAGAATCTCGCGCAACACCAAGGTCGTTATCGCCAAATAAGCGTTTAAGTGCGGAGGAAACGAGGAGTCTATTGAAAGACTTTGTTGCAAAGAAGATCGAAGAAAGAGCTCTTTCGCCACAAAGAGTTGAAAGGAACACAAATCAAGAAAGTGACTTCGTTGATCAAACAGAATCTTTTGTCCCGTCCTCATTCGCGCAGGTCAAATACGTTCCTACGTGCAAAGCAAATATCACGAGTACCAAGTTTTGTCGTGGAAGTCTTAGCAGCGTGCAATCATCGGAAGCAAACTCGTTCAGCCCCCCTGCATCAGATACAAGCTATGATAAAGCAGACACGATCAGTATGGCCTCGTATGCGGGTAGCGAAGATAGAAATGAGGTTCCAGGGCTTGGTGGTGTGGCAGGCCGGCGAAAACGAAGTCCGGTTAAAATACATTATCGTTGGTCCACTGTTTTCGAAGAGGACGAAAGATCGAAGCAAAATAATCAAAAAGCGACTAGCAGTACGGATAAACAAACTCCAGAAGGGAAAAAGTCGAAATCGGGCAAAAAGACTGAGACAATCGTCAAACCAAGCCCATGTAAATCACCCAAGGTTGGATCGAAAATGTCTAAACAAGAGAAGAAACGGGAGAAGACAGAAAAACAAATCGCAAGCTCTTCGCGGACATTGAAAAGCTCTCGTTTGCATGTAGATGATGTCGGAAACAGCATTCATTCAGTAAGTGGTCTGAGTGAGCTGAGCGAAAGCAGCGGAATTGCTAGTAATGATAACTCCAGTTTGTCACAACACAGCATCCAGTGCAGTCCATCAGGATCGATGAGAGAAACATGTGTTGCTGCAAGTCAATCGCCGATCTCACCACGGACACGAAGATGGTTTTTCAGGTAACAAACATCTTTGTTTGTGTACTCGTAACAGACACGTATATACCGGGATATGGGGGGTGTCATTCCCCCCTCAATCTTTTAAAATCTTTGAATTGGTGGGAAGTTAAGGAAAATCGTAATTCCAATGCTTATTTTCGTCGGATATCACAATCTTTTTTCTTAGTGCTCCTTGGTTTAATTTTATGTCTTTCCTCGTTCTGTATCCATACAGAGATACTTCCAGAAGATCTAAAGCTGTGTCTGCGGATCGTCTCCTACTTACCCGCCAGAACCTTGACAATTGTTTTGTTGTTAATCAAAGTCGTGTTTTTCTTTACAGTCGAAAGCCCCGATCCAGCGGTTACGTTAGTGATGGTAATGTCACCGATTCGTCGAGAGCTTCTTCACGTTCGAAAAGACTTTTTGGCTCCAAGTCAAGTAGGTGCCTTTTTATTAGAACTTTAGTGTCATAACTTAATTTTATACTTGGTATTAAAATTTCTTTGACTAGGAAAACTTTCAACCTTGACGGTTTACTCGCTTTGAATTTTTGTCTTGTCTAATCTCAGATTTGATGTTTTCTGTGGAACGTCCTTGTTTAAAGCGAAATGACCCTGTGGTCGTGTTTTATAATCGTAATTGTTTTACTATGCGTTTTCTTTGACACGTAACAAATCTTCATATGATGCAAAGTTAAGCTTTTGATAAGAGCAAGCTTTTGAACCTTTACAATATTTTCAAATGACTTCACTCCTCTGCAGAATTATCAGTTGGCAACAGCAGCGGCTACGAAAGTATGCGAACTGACAATGCATCAGGGGCCGAGAGTGCTTGCGAGCTAGACGGATCAGGACAACGAAAGAAGAAGAGATTTTTAGGTTAGTTGAACTTTCTCTAAGCATCAAATTTTAGGCCAATTTTCCTCAATTAAGACTTCAGTCAGTCAATTCATGATAAATGAGGTATTTGATATATGGAAATTTTGTTTTATAGGATTCCGAAGACGTTCCTTGTCTGATCTTTCAAAACGAGGCAGATCCAAGAGGTCGTATTGGATCGATAACCCAGCCAGCGACAATGAAGGAGTAGAATACACCGTATACCAGATTGAGGATATCGAAGGAAGGCTGTCGTCTCCCAAATCTGAGGTATTTATTTTCTCGTTTTATCCATGGGCCTGATGTTTCGATAAATGTAGCATGGCGATCTTCTGTTTTGGAAGTTAAGGCATGGCTCTCTTCCACTCTTTTTGTAGCAGTTTATGTCCCAGTTTTTGTAATATATTATCTTTCCTATGTGATTGATGTTTCCTTCTCTTTCTATTGGCTGAAGCTGATATTTTGCCTTTTATTTCAGCGATCAAATATGGGAGCTCGATCAAATCGAAAGCTTTTAGAAAATCATCGTCGTCGTGTTCTTGGTTTAACACAAGAAAGGTCTGACTTGGAAACAGAGCTGGACCAAGCCATGAACAGACTGATGCTTGAAAAGGATAAATACAAGGTCATTAAAGGTAGACTTTAATATCCAGCTCTTATTTAAATACTCTTTTTTCTCTAAGAGAAGTTTTGTCTCTAAGTTTTAATACTTCAGGAAGTTTTGATGGCAAGAGTTGCAAGTTAAAGGCATTTCGATGGCAATTTAAATTTCCCATGGGTTGATCTACACAATAACCTATTGTTCTGTACCCAGTCGGCAATGCGAGGCTAATACTCAATATTTTCTCAATCATAAATGCACTGCAAAGCCTATAGTCAAGTCTGAACGACTGACTGACGGGACATAGTGCCCTTAAAAATGCTTCCAGAGAGCTGAAATGTCCTTTTTTCAAGATGAATGAAAACGTTTAACCAGTTAATTTATCAAAGTATGCCTAACACAGCTGGAGTTGTCTCCACTATTTATACGAAAACACTCGAAAACTTCATAAACAGTTTTCTTTACCAAAAGAATATTTCGATTATGTATAAAGACAAATTTACATGATTTTAAAGCTTCTCTATTTGAAGTAAAATAAATCAAATGCTATCCGTTTTGAAAATTACTGTTTATCGGTCTGTCATTAAGTCATGAAGTGCTCGATGCCTGAAACCCATAGAAGAAACATGGAACCGCCCCGTATATTCACCAAAAAGTGTTCTATCCGTTTTTTAATAATTCGTTATTAATTTCTTATAGGATCCGAAAACCTGGACCCAAATCATCCGCAATATGCCGATGAGCTTGAGAGAGAGATTGGCCTCTTTCAGAAGCGGTTGCGCGTCTTGAAGGCTCATTTAGAACTGATCACGTGTTTTGACAAGAAGCGACAAAGAAAGACGACTGTAATCTGAATGGTTTTGCTACGGATTTCAAGTATTATTCGTTTGAATTAAATTTTTAAGTAGACGAGTGATTTAAATTCTTTGACAATAGTGTGAAAGTTAGGTCTTAGTGTTGACAAAAATTGTTGCTATTTGACATGTTGTATTTTAAATCATTGCTATTAGTTAGTTGTAAGACGACTGGTGATATCTTCATTTGACCATTGACACAGCTTATTTAACCTGATTGCGGATAAGGGCAGATTATTTCATGCTTATCAAAGCAGTGGCAAATGAATACGAGAGTGTGTATTAATCTCTTCCTATGACAAACTACATGTGGGTATGGCAAAGATTTTCCGTTGTGAAAGAATAAATATCATTTGGTTAGTGGCTTAAGCGATGTTTTAAGCTTGAAAAAATATTACTAGCAGAGCGTTTTAGAGTCCAGTGTGATGTGCTTGCTTTTACCAAGAAACATTTCACAATAACAAGCCTATCCGATTATCAAAACATCTGAAAATTGTTCCCCACTAGATTTAAGTAGCATGAGCTTGTAATTTCTCCATGGAAACATTGATTTCTTTTATTTAATAAATTATTATGTTTTCTTTCCTTTTAAAGTCTCTTATTCAGCCATAAGGTTATGAGGTTTGTTGTTAGCGACCTTCAAAACACTTTTTCTCTATTCATTTCCATATGTATGAATTTGCAAACTTACAGACACAAAGATAAAACCACTCCGTACATAAGCTCTACCAGTTTCGACATTTGGTAACCTATGAAGCGAATATTTCATTATTTTACGTTTTTATCAAACATTACTGATACTTGTTAACTTAAATTTTGACTATTTCAAAGTTATGTTATCAACCACTTTATTGTAAATTATCTTCTTCGACAACTTTAAAATATATATATAAATACATAGATTTAATTAAGTAATTTTAGTTTTTTATATTTCATGTAAAAAGAATTTCTTTTGTTTACGTATCTTTCGTTTTTTAATAAACAGATTTTTCAATACCTTGTGTTTTAATCTTCACAAGTTATATGAAGAAATACTAATGTCTAAATGGTGTTTATTGTCTTGCCTAATTCATTTATAATTTCGAGAGGAACTCACAACACAGACTACTTTTATGATATCTTTTGATAAATTTATGGATATTCTGCAAAAATTGTTTCATCAAACGATTTTTCATCAAAAGGGCAAGCCTTGCAAGAATGGCAATTTGGAGTGTACAATTTTTTCGTTAAAAAATGGCTTAAACTAATGTCTTAGATAGTAAACACAATGTTGAACAACAGAAATAAAAGATATCTTGCATCCCAAAGACCTAAATGGCCTGAATTTAGAATGTTTGATTTTTCATCAAAAAGGCAAGCCTATAGCCTTGCAAAAGTGGCAGTTTTGTGGTGAAAATTTTTTTGTTAAAAATTTCCTTAAACTAACGTCTTAGATAGTAAACACAATGTTGAACAACAGAAATAAAAGATATCTTGCATCCCAAAGACCTAAATGGCCTGAATTTAGAATGTTTGATTTTTCATCAAAAAGGCAAGCCTATAGCCTTGCAAAAGTGGCAGTTTTGTGGTGAAAATTTTTTTGTTAAAAACTTCCTTAAACTAACGTCTTAGAGAATAAACACAATGTTGAACAACAGAAATAAAAGATATCTTGCATCCCAAAGACCTAAATGGCCTGAATTTAGAATGTTTGATTTTTCTTCAAAAAGGCAAGCCTATAGCCTTGCAAAAGTAGCAGTTTTGTAGTGAAAATTTTTTTGTTAAAAATTTCCTTAAACTAACGTCTTAGAGAGTAAACACAATGTTGAACAACAGAAATAAAAGATAACTTGCATACAATAGTACTAAATGTCTGAACTTTAAATGTTCGATTTTTCTTCAAAAAGGCAAGCCTATAGCCTTGCAAAAGTAGCAACTTTTTAGTGAAAATTTTTTTGTTAAAAACTTCCTTAAACTAACGTCTTAGATAGTAAACACAATGTTAAACAACAGAAATAAAAGATAACTTGCATCCAAAAGTACTTAATGTCTGAATTTTAAATGTTTGATTTTTCTTCAAAAAGGCAAGCCTATAGCCTTGCAAAAGTGGCAGTTTTGTAGTGAAAATTTTTGTGTTAAAAACTTCCTTAAACTAACGTCTTAGACAGTAAAAATAATGTTGAACAACAGAAATAAAAGATAACTTGCATCTCAAAGTCCTAAATGTCTGTATTTTAAATGTTCGATTTTTCTTCAAAAAGGCAAGCCTATAGCCTTGCAAAAGTGGCAGTTTTGTAGTGGAAATTTTTATGTTAAAAACTTCCTTAAACTAACGTCTTAGACAGTAAAAATAATGTTGAACAAAAGAAATAAAAGATAACTTGCATCCAAAAGTACTTAATGTCTGAATTTTAAATTTTTGATTTTTCTTCAAAAAGGCAAGCCTATAGCCTTGCAAAAGTGGCAGTTTTGTAGTGGAAATTTTTATGTTAAAAACTTCCTTAAACTAACGTCTTAGACAGTAAAAATAATGTTGAACAAAAGAAATAAAAGATAACTTGCATCCAAAAGTACTTAATGTCTGAATTTTAAATGTTCGATTTTTCTTCAAAAAGGCAAGCCTATAGCCTTGCAAAAGTGGCAGTTTTGTAGTGGAAATTTTTATGTTAAAAACTTCCTTAAACTAACGTCTTAGACAGTAAAAATAATGTTGAACAAAAGAAATAAAAGATAACTTGCATCCAAAAGTACTTAATGTCTGAATTTTAAATTTTTGATTTTTCTTCAAAAAGGCAAGCCTATAGCCTTGCAAAAGTGGCAGTTTTGTAGTGGAAATTTTTATGTTAAAAACTTCCTTAAACTAACGTCTTAGACAGTAAAAATAATGTTGAACAAAAGAATTAAAAGATAGCTTGCATCTAAAAGTACTTAATGTCTGAATTTTAAATTTTTGATTTTTCTTCAAAAAGGCAAGCCTATAGCCTTGCAAAAGTGGCAGTTTTGTGGTGAAAATTTTTTTGTTAAAAATTTCCTTAAACTAACGTCTTAGATAGTAAACACAATGTTGAACAACAAAAATAAAAGATAACTTGCATCCCAGAGTCCAAAATGTCTGCATTTAAAATGTTCGATTTTTCTAAAAAAGGCAAGCCTATAGCCTTGCAAAAGTGGCAGTTTTATAGTGAAAATGTTTTTGTTAAAAACTTCCTTAAACTAACGTCTTAGACAGTAAAAATAATGTTGAACAACAGAATTAAAAAGTAACTTGCATCCAAAAGTACTTAATGTCTCAATTTTAAATTTTTGTTTTTTCTTCAAAAAGGCAAGCCTATAGCATTGCAAAAGTGGCAGTTTTGTAGTGAAAATTTTTATGTTAAAAACTTCCTTAAACTAACGTCTTAGACAGTAAAAATAATGTTGTACAACAGAAATAAAAGATAACTGGCATCCCAAAGTCCTAAATGTCTGAATTTTAAATGTTCGATTTTTCTTCAAAAAGGCAAGCCTATAGCCTTGCAAAAGTGGCAGTTTTGTAGTGGAAATTTTTATGTTAAAAACTTCCTTAAACTAACGTCTTAGACAGTAAAAATAATGTTGAACAAAAGAATTAAAAGATAGCTTGCATCCAAAAGTACTTAATGTCTGAATTTTAAATTTTTGATTTTTCTTCAAAAAGGCAAGCCTATAGCCTTGCAAAAGTGGCAGTTTTGTGGTGAAAATTTTTTTGTTAAAAATTTCCTTAAACTAACGTCTTAGATAGTAAACACAATGTTGAACAACAAAAATAAAAGATAACTTGCATCCCAGAGTCCAAAATGTCTGCATTTAAAATGTTCGATTTTTCTAAAAAAGGCAAGCCTATAGCCTTGCAAAAGTGGCAGTTTTATAGTGAAAATGTTTTTGTTAAAAACTTCCTTAAACTAACGTCTTAAACAGTAAAAATAATGTTGAACAACAGAAGTAAAAAGTAACTTGCATCCAAAAGTACTTAATGTCTCAATTTTAAATTTTTGTTTTTTCTTCAAAATGGCAAGCCTATAGCATTGCAAAAGTGGCAGTTTTGTAGTGAAAATTTTTATGTTAAAAACTTCCTTAAACTAACGTCTTAGACAGTAAAAATAATGTTGTACAACAGAAATAAAAGATAACTGGCATCCCAAAGTCCTAAATGTCTGAATTTTAAATGTTCGATTTTTCATCAAAAAGGCAAGCCTATAGCCTTGCAAAAGTGGCAGTTTTGTAGTGAAAATTTGTTTGTTAAAAATTTCCTTAAACTAACGTCTTAGATAGTAAACACAATGTTGAACAACAGAAATAAAAGATAACTTGCATCCCAAAGTCTTAAATGTCTGCATTTAAAATGTTCGATTTTTCTAAAAAAGGCAAGCCTATAGCCTTGCAAAAGTGGCAGTTTTGTAGTGAAAATGTTTTTGTTAAAAACTTCCTTAAACTAAGGTTTCAGAGAGTAAACACAATGTTGAACAACAGAAAAAAAGGTAACTTGCATCCCAAAGTCCTAAATGTCTGAATTTTAAATGTTTGATTTCTCATTAAAAAGGCAAGCCTATTGCCTTGCAAAAATGGCAGTTTTGGAGTGAAAATTTTTTATTTAAAAACTTGCTTAAACTGACGTCCTAGATAGTAAACAAAATGTTGAACAACAAAAATAAAAGATAACTTGCATCCCAAAGACCTAAATGGCCTGAACTGAAAATGTTTGATTTCTCATTAAAAAGGCAAGCCTATAGCCTTGCAAAAGTAGCAGTTTTGGAGTGAACATTTTTTTGCTAAAAACTTCCTTAAACTAACGTCTTAGAGAATAAACACAATGTTGAACAACAAAAATAAAAGATATCTTGCATCCAAAGGACCTAAATGGCCTGAATTTAAAATGTTTGATTTTTCATCAAAAAGGCAAGCCTATAGCCTTGCAAAAGTGGCAGTTTTGTAGTGAAAATTTTTGTGTTAAAAACTTCCTTAAACTAACGTCTTAGAGAGTAAGTTCTGCTTCCTCTCTTCCTTTGCCAGCGTGACTGTGGAGCTAGCTTTGACGTGGGAAAGGAGGACGTAGAGCAGGCGCGGATCTAGACAGGTTGCACAGGAGAGCTTTTTCTCCGTGAATCTTGAATTTCTATCCAATATGTCAACTGCAACAACTGCTGAATTTCTCCCTGACTGACTACAGTCCCTCTGTTTGAATAATTGAACCCCCACACAATTTCTTAATTTGATAAATTTTCATTATTAACAATATTTATGTACTATGGCCATATCGGAGTAAAGAACCCCGAAACCGGTCAACATTTTGGCTAGATCCGCGCCTGTAGAGGGAGCTTAAACAAAAACATGCTTAGACCTACTGTTCATAATGAGTACATTGGTACCCCATCGTTACTGTTCATATTCGCAATGCACCTCTACTTTGATGATATTTGCGAGTTACGCAGACATTAGTTCCAGATATGGAAAGGCATAAAAGATATGAAAGGTAAACGTCTAGCTTCATTGCAAATCGAATAAAACCATAGAAAACTATATTTATATAAACATGTGTATATAATTTATAACAATTACAATAAATTCGTACTTTGTAATTAAGTTCGGTGGCTGTCTGTCTTTGCGGGCACATTCGCGAAGCTGCAAAAACGAATATAGAGATGAGATCGTCGACATGAAAACACAGAAAGTCAAAATCGAATTTGCAGTGGAAGGTAACGTTATCAAATAGTGTGGCAACCATTTAGAACAATTAATGAAACGACATTTTAAGCGAATGCACGAGCTTTGGGACAGAATGGTAGATCTTAGATTCAAAAGTGTTTCAAGGTAAGGATACTGAATCAAAATCGGTCTAATATCGATTTGATGTGCTCTTAATAGATATCTCATAGCCTATTATCTGTTGCACGCTGAACTCATTTACACCGCCTTCAACAAATTGCAAACCAGAGTTTCCGGGGTTTACTTTCTTGGGGTCTGAAGCTTGATAAAGACAAAAATACAGCAATACCACCTTAACTACATTAAGGATAAGCTGAAGTAGAGGCATTTTGACTTCACTAGAAGCACCAAAAAATGATACAAACATTCACGCTTTAATTCAGTAGCTTTGTTATGAAAGTAAGAAAAATTATGTTTTGCTGTTTTATACAATTTCTTTTTGGTGTTCTAAGTTTCCGTTTTTCCGTTGTATCTTCAAAAATAAATAGGCATTGAATGTTCACGAAAAGATTTGAAAACTTACATAAAAATTGGTTAAGAGCAAAAGATTTTTCACTTCAAAGACACACCTTTAGATGTGAACACAAAAGCAGGGCCAGGCAGGCATTGTTATTCTACGGGTTTTAAATAGGTTATCGGGTTAACTCACCGACTCAGTTTGAACAGGTGTCTCTCTTCTTGACTGTTTCTGTCTTGCATCCTTGAAATAAAAACAGGCAAATAAGAATTCTTCCAAACATTTTTTGCCATTGAGTTCAGAAAAGATAAATTTTAAAAATATCAACGAAAGGGAAAAATCGTACTTTGTTACAATGGTTTTTTAACGAAAAAATTAGCTACAATTGGACCAGTTTGCTGGAAACTGAGTTTTGAAATGCAGATATTAAGCTGTTGGCGCTAGATTGCTTGCAGGCGAAGCTACCAATTTTTCAACCAAGAAAATTCAAAATCTTACAAGAATAATGATCAAATGTTGAGTAATAATTGTTGAAATTTCTCACTTCTTGATGTACTTTTGATCCCTCTGGCTTTTTTCCTTCTCTTTCTCAGACATTTCAAACTAAAAAATAATTCAAAATTTAGGTTGTGTACAGCCTTGCAGAATTTCAGGTCTGTGAACTTGTTTTGCTATCAGCTCTAAGTGATTGCCATCAAGTTTGAATTTAATTCAAATGGTGTTTGAGCAACTTAGTACATTTTGCAGTAGTCACAAATATGAGGAGAAGAAAGGTAACTCAAAACATATTTTGATGACATACTGTAAAAGCTCTATTAACCACCTCTCTATTAACCCCTCCTTTATATTAAGCCCCATTACCAAGTCAAAATTTAAAAAAGGCACCTCTCTCTATTAAGCCCCCTTTTAGCCCCTGATGTCTAACAAAGAAAACATGTGCATTGGGTGGGTCTCTTGACAGGTTTGATGATGATAAGATCAAGTGCATTAAATACAACCCATGTAAAGGTAGTCAAGAGGATACTGATGTTGTTTCTTTCGAAGAAATCCCAGAGCATTGTGGCATTTTTATAATGTTTTATTTTGAATAATTAATAAGCCCCCCCCCTCTAGGACTGAAAAATGGCTAAGCCCACCCCACCTAGGGCTTAATAGAGCTTTTACAGTAATCATAAAAATTCCAAGCAACAAGCTGCAGTATATGAATTGGACAGCCTTTTAATCAGATTTTTCCCTATGAATATTAACAGTTGAAATGTATAAAAAATAAAAAGCCAATTTTAAAGAGTATTAACATTCTTAAAGGTTCAAACAGTACCTTTCTCCCCTCAGACATTTTCTTTCTCTCGTCTTGTTCTGCAAGCCAGTCTCGTTGGTACTGCATGCTAAGTAACTGTCCAATACTTCCTTCTTCTTTTTTCTTAGGGCTTCTATAGTAAGCAGAAGTGTTTTCATTGCATTGTGAAAGATTTTGGTTGATTTAAGAAGTTACCAAACAACTATATGCTTGATAGCTTTGTAGGGCAGATGAAAAGCCATGGACAGCAAGAAAATATTGATGAAGGGACAGAAAGCAAGAATATACCTACAATTTCAAATTTAATAATGGAAAAAAGTAGATAATTTCATTTATAGGAACATTACCCTTTGGCCGGACTGATATAATTATGTACATGCTCAGACAATAGCATGGAATGTAAACAGAAGAACTATTGTTGTCAGAAGCAAAACTGAGTTTCTATGTTTCTAGCCTGGGGGGCCACTCTTTTGAGTAGCAAGGTCTTATAACTTAAGTATGGCTCTAAAGAACTCACTTAGAAACATGGCTTTATTAATAATTCTTTTTCCATCTTAGGATCACTCTAGCCATTAACAGACAGCCTTTTCTGACAGCTCTTTATAGTTTTGTACTAAGCCTATCTGGAAAAATAGTATATGAATATATATCTTCTTACATGACAGGGAACTTTGTTTCATAAGGTTGTTCAAAATTTGATGCCATGTTTGATCCATTCTTCATGCCTGTATGTGAATGCTTGTTTTTAACCAGAGATGGAAGTTTCAATGGTGTTGACTTGACTTTTCTTTCTTGCTGCTCCACTGCTTCTCTGTGAAAAATAATTTAAAAAGGGCTTGAAAAACCTATAATAACTTTTATTTTAAGAAACTACAAGAATAAAACAACTTATAATTCAGAATGGTGATGTAAATCCAGGATTCTGGTTAGTTATTGTTCAGTAAAACTACCAAAATGATGAAATCTTTCCAGCTGGATCCAATAATATGGAAGCATAAGGGAAATGGTTAGGATCACTACAAAGCCTTCTTAGAAAGCCTCGTTTAGGAATTTCTTACCTTTTCCAATATGACATATCATCAAAAGCCAAGATCTGTTGCTTTTTCTTTATTGAAGTATTTTGTTCTTGAGTTCTTTGGTTTTGTTCATTCAGTTCATGGATATACCATTCTGGATAAGCAGACTTATATGTTGTGCTGCAAAAAAGCCAAAGAAAAGAAACCAATTAATTAAAATTCTTTCACAAGTAATGTTTCATGGAAAAGGGAAAGATGTATAAGATTTCTGTTAACACTACCAAGGAAAATATAAACCTGTCATTCTAGAATGGAATTTGGTAAAAGTGTTCCATTTAAATGAAGAAAAGAAGTTTTAATAAGGGTATACTTCAAAAACAAACTTATCAAAACAAAAACTAGTAAGTTTGAAGTGTTTCTCATTATTGGGAGCTTCTATTCTTAGTAAATCTTAATCAGGTACCAGGTAAATCAAAATGGGGGTGTTGGCAGGTTGTAAAATACAAAACACAGAAGAACTTACGGAATTTCAACTTCTGTAGAGTTTTGATCATGAGCAATACTTTGATTTTCATGGTCAAACCAATCCACCCTTGGATAGTGAACAGCACCTTTTGATGAAGGCTTATGTTCTCTGTATATGAAAATATCTGTCAAAAAAGAAGTGGACAATGTTAAAAACATATAAATATTTGTATATGCTATTTGGTGCAGGAGCAGATCTAGGCCAGTTGCACAGGTTTAAAAAAACCAGTCAAATTCTAAGGGCCATGTTTCTCTGTGAATCTTTAATTTTTATATAAAATTTCAATTTTGACTATTACTGCATTTCTCCCTGACTGACAACAGTTCTTTTGTTTATGACTGAATTGAACCCCCACAAGATTCGGATTAGAGTTCCCAGCTTCCGAAAGTGTGGACGCTTTAAAACAAAATTATACAGAATGAAATATGGATGCAAATAAGAATCTGAGGTATTGTATTGAGGTACTAGATTTTCTTTCTTAGAAAAGCTCATGAAAATTAGTTGTTTC